TAAGAAACAAAATGGATTGGGTCTTATAATTAAGACTAAATAAAAAGTCAAATTGGGTTTTATAATAAGGACCGGAGGAGTATTATTGTAGATAGAGCAAGAGCATGACTTGTCCCATCCAACTTGGTTTCGCTTTGTAAACATTGACATGATATGATACGATCGATAGGGAGTGGGAGTGTTATGTGGATGACATCTGAGTATTTTTCACTTTTTATTCAATTAGAAAGATAAATATAAATTGCCTAAGGGTTAGAAAACAAGTTGCCCAGCATTCACTTACATAGTAGTTTTCATGCTACTAAATTATAATTTCACCAACATTTTTTCACTTTTTTGTTTTTGATTCGGGATTGCTTGGATTACTTTTTAAAAGTAATTTTGTTTTGATTGGTATAAAAATATTTTTTTAAAAGTAGTTTTCCAAACTCCTCCGAAGAGTCATCACACGCACATAGCAGTGAGGGTCTCTTTTCTGCTAGTAACCTGTTTGTTTTTCATATTTATTTATTATCAGGTTGCTTTTCAGATCTAAAAGGTCGCCATCTTATAGAGCAATAATTACAGACTCTGGATGTTTAATTAAAAATTGTGCATGTGAGCTCAACACTCTGCAATTTTTGAATTAATTATCATTTAATATGATATAAACTTATAAAAATATATTAAATAGTTTTATATTGTAGAAAATTTCAGCTATATAATTTTGCTTTCTTTTCTTCAGTTAACTGTTAAAAAGATATAAAAATGTAAAATAATAATTAATATTTCAATGAAATATTTAAATCATAACTATTTGCAAATAAAACTAAAATTTTAAAATTATGTAAATTTTTATTTGGAAGTTTGACTGGATGTCAACTTTGACTTCGAATTCACGCAAGATAATCTTTAAAATAACAGTGATTTTAAAACACGAGGCCCCAGCAAATCCTTATAGTGAGACATGCCACCGATAACTATTATATGTTATTAATTACAGGGATAATTAATCTACAGTTCTTTATAGTTTCAACTAATTTTGAATCAAGTCTTTATAGTTTTTTTTTCTTTTTATCAGGTCCTTATACTTTCATCTGTTTTTAATTAGATCCTTGTATTATTTTTCTTTTTATCAAGTCCTTATAAGTTCACCTTATTTTTAATTAAGTCCCTGAATTTTTTATTCTTTATTTTATAAATTCTAATAGTACTATTATATAAACATAAAATAGTATATATTATTTAATATTAGTTTATAAACAATAATATTCTAAAGATATTGAATTATTATAATGATTTTAATTTCTTCAAAAAAATTTCCTGAATTAATTAATTCCATTACTTTTTTATTACATAATTATTAATTTAATTTAATTATTAATATTTTATATTTCAATATTAATCTATTTAATTAAGCTTATATTTAATTAATAAATAAAAATTAAAACTATATGGACCTGATTAAAAATTTAGTGAAATTATAAGGACTTAATTAAAAGAAAAATAAATACAAAGACCTAATTAAAAAAAGTAAAAGTATAAGGACCTAATAAAAAGAAAAAAACTATAGGGATCTGATTCAAAATTCGTTGAAACTATAAGGACTTGCGGATTAATTAACCCTTAATTATATTGATTTTTATGGTGAATCTTTTATGTTATTTTCTTATAATTTTTAAGGAATATATAAATCTTAATTTATTCTATCGCAACGAAAAAGAATCATTTTATACTATTTCAAGAAAAAAGGGAGAAGAATCTGGTTTAAAAAATTCAACGATGATGTGAATTGTGAGGCGATACTCCTGTCTACAACGTCGTTATCGGGTGTGTTAATGAAGAAATAGATGGCTAACTTCTAACTACTACTTCTCAATAGTCAATGCAAAGCGCAGCTGGTAGCTCTATTCCCAGCAATGTCGGCGACTCTCCATATTGGTGCCCAGAGAGAGTAAACAAAACTTTAATCAGGTCCTAAAAAATAGATTTAACTAACTTAAAGTGTATTGAATATTGATAACTGAACTTTCAGTATAAAAAATGACAACTGATTTATGTTGTTTATTATCAGTAAAACTTTCTAATAATTAAATTCTTTTTTTTGGACCTCTTGCTAATTTTCCGAAACTTTAACATGCAATATAATGAATAAAGGGGGATTGATTTAAATATTAAAATGAAAATCTAATCCAAAACAAAAGGCATGCTAAAAAAGATATATGCGAAAAATTAGAGCAATCTCAGAAGTATCAATATATAATAAAATTTGCATACAAGTCCTGAGTCATAAATAACAGTACAATTCATCTCAAACGTTAGAAAAAGTGCGCGTTTAGATTGTTTCCAATTTATTTTTTCTTTTTTTTGTAGTTTAAAGTTATACAAATAGATTTGTAAAATTCTTAAAGTAATCTAGCATAACCTTATCCAGTGGGCCTCAACTTGTCCAACAAGAAAGGCAGCCTTAATTGCACTTTTAATTTGAAAACCATAATTGACAAATGGGCCAGTTAATTATTTTTTTTAGGAAGAATTGCACTGAAATCTCAAGAAAGATAAATAATTATTAAAAAGCTTCAATAACAACATGAGTAGCCTGTAATAATAAGTTTTAAAGTGGAGAATGAAAACCTCTAGAACTTGTTTTGTAATTTTTTTCCTTCCTTGAGACCTTATTATAATTTTTTTCTATTTTTTACCTCTACATTTTGAAACACGAAAATTCAAATAAAATGTAATAATTGTAAGGCACCATATGGTTAATAATACAATTCTTTTATAAATCTATACAATATAGAAGATTCACTATATAAAATAACATCATAATAACTCCCTTTACACAATTGTAAATATTTCAATCAAAAAATTATTATCTGATTTAAACATATTAAAAGTGAAAGACCTATGTTAACATTTAACAATGTTCATTATTATATCCATCATATATATTACTTTAAATTCTAATTTATTCTTATTTTTTTCAAAATAGTTAGAAATTTAATATATTTTTATTTTTAAATACATATATAAAATATGAACCAATATTTAATTCATTATTGATATATAAACACATCCATTTGTTGTCCAATTTCAGGGTTGTTAATTATTATGATCACAATGAATGTGATTGGAGGCTAAGTCGGAAAGAAACCTCATTATATTGATGCAATCATGCATGCAAAGGTGCTCATCATCTTGTACTATGGTTGGACTTTTTTAACACTTCTGTCTGTGGGTAGAAAGATAGTAATTACCACATCAGACATATGCATACTCATATACAGATATTATATGCATGCATATTTAAAAAATATTAAAAAATTATTGATGAAAAATTCTCTATTGCAAAATTTATTATTCAAAAGTACCTGAAATTTGTCTAAAAACTTGTGCAATTTATTTTCAGTGAATACAACTTTGCTTTAACTATATGCATGCAACCTATTCTCAACCATGCAGCAAACAAAGATTTGGACATAGATAAAAATAATGTTGCATGTAATTGAAGAAGAATTGCACTGACGGGTTGAAAATGAATTTTACAATGAAGAATTTTTTCTCTAATCTTAAAAAAAAAAACATTTATAAAATTTATCAAAATTGGGCACCATGAGTTTCAGACACGCCGTGAGGGTGTGGGGTGCACTCCAAGGACAGTGGGTTGGGTTAGATGCCGATGGCTTCGTCGATCTTAGGCAAGCAGCTGTGTGGGGGTGGTTTCATTCAATACCTTATATGGTTACGTTTCTTTTCGCTAAATATATTATGGAGTTGATTGTCCTGGTAAAATGTTAAATGTATATATAATTGTGTTTTTATTCTTATTAATAAAAATATGCAAATAATTAAGTGAATGTTAAATCTAAATATTTGTACAGAAGATATATACATATATATATATATGTATGTATATATTCGATGATTTAGGTAGGCTGACATGAACTGATCATTTGGGTCACTATGCATACCTACTACTTAGGTTTTTATTATTTGTCAGGAAGGGGATTTTGATTTTTTTTTTTATTTGTTACTTGTATAATTTGTAAAATGCTTAATTTTTAATTCTCCTATTAATTATAATGAAGATAAAGAAAGAGGAAATGAGTAAAAGAAAATATATTAATATATAATATTTCTTAACAAAGATAAAAATAAAAAATTTCATCTATTTAGTGTTTCTCTGTTAGAAAAATCTTTGCAAATGACAAATAATAAGGTCCAAGAGTGATATAAGTTAAAAGTACTAGTGGAGAAAAGGACAAGGTTTTGTAATTATTTCAAATGACCTCTGCTCGCCTCGCCTGCCTTCCATAACATTTTCAAGAGCCTATACATTACTTTTTGTAGCCTAAACATATCATGACCCTCAACAATTACCAAACTCAACGACTGATCATTCATCTTATGGTTTGCTTCTAAATCCAAATCCCCCGGTGCCAAATCCAAATCGCCAATTTGAGGGCATGGTATTTTATGCTTTGTATTATATTTTAGCCTAATTTAATAGTAGTAATTAGAATAAAATAATTATTAGTGCAAGTAGTAGAAACAATAATAAACATACCAATTTAATTGCTATCAACACCAACATCAACATCAATCTCCATAGTATACGTAGAATATCAAATCAATAGTAATCATATTCATTACTCCAGAGTCTTTTTTATTCTCATTAATATAAGGGGCGGAAAACTATTTGCAGAAACTAAAAAAATCTGTTTGATTTAGTTAGATTTAAGTTTCCTCGTATCCAGAATTCCTTGCCTGACTTACATATGATGGTATTATGCAATGTATATACACAATTTAATGATTCTAAGCAAGATAATTATGTATTCTCTCTTTCATCTCTAACGAATGCAAATTTTTGGCCAAAAAATGCATCAAGTCATTTTTTCCCTTTATATTTTGGACCACCGCAAGCTTAAAAAATCTTCCTACGAAAAGGATTGGAGTTTGTGCACGTAGTAACCCCATCTAGCTTTAGTGGCCAGTTGGTGTTATTAGTGACAAATTAATGTTGAAAATCTTCAACAAATAAGGATAAATAAACAAAAAGAGGACACTAGAGAGACAATTAAAGCCACCCTATGATATCACAGTGAAAATGATCACCCTTATAACTCCATATGATCTTATGTCTTCTGGCTGTTGACGTAATTCTGCTATGTAAATTATATAAGCGATGAAGATAATGGTATGGGCACTAATATCATCCTGAGAAATTGGGTCAGAAGAATTGGTGGAGATATTTAGTAAGGAGGGGACGGATAAGTTTTCTGTAAGCAGTTTCAGTTGGATGAAAACTATCCCAAAACACATATTCTGAATCATCGGCGCATGTCTGTTGGAGATGATTGCACAACTCTGCTACCTCTATTTTGCCTGTGCCACAACATCCGCGGTCCCCAACTTTGAACCCTGCACATTAAATACACATATTAGATCAAATGCCTCCAAATTCCAAAATTAATGAATAATTAATGGCCTGATTGTTATTACCATATTGCCGGTAGTTGACGATTAAATCAAGCAGAGGGCTGTAAACATCAATGTAAACAATTCTGCTGCTGGGCAATTGGCTATTAAGGGAAGCCATCTCTTTGGAGAGCTTGGAGTTAAACAACTCCGCTGCCTCGTTGTATGTGTCTACACAGTTTCTTTCTACTCCTCCAGCTAATGTTCTCTGAGATGGAACACACCCTATTGGCGGCGCACTGAACACTCCAACTTTTCTTACACCCACTTCGTATAAATCCTTTCAATTCATCATGCAAATCCTTTAATAATATTTATAAGTTTCGAACGAATGGTATGATTCATTTAGTGTTGACTCCATATATGTGTGGAGGTACCTTTACTAAGTCAGAAGCAGAAGTGACCATAAGATCAGTGTAAGTAGGGACATCATACTGGACTTGTCTAGCGTGAGAGAGGAAGTAAGTGTTGGAAATGTCATTACTGCCTGCTACCACGAAAACGAAGCTGTTCGATATGATGAAATCGCTTCTGTCTTCTCCAACAAGTGCTTTTAGCCTCTGCTTGTATTGTCGAAGCAATTCTACTTGATCAGACAGCGATATAGCTGACTGGTTCGGTGGAAATATATTCAATATGCAGTTAATTAGTTGATCAAACCCAAAATGGAATAGAGAAGGTAGATATATACTCCTTTGGTCCTTAATATAGGGCTCATTTAACTAATTTGATTAGATTAAGGAAATTAGATAAGTTAGTTAATTATAAGAAAAGTCATACATTTTTCTTAAAATACCATAATTATCTTTCTTAATACCCCTTCTCCCTCTTCTACTTGATTATGGTTGAGGAAATATCTATAAAGATAATTTAGAAAAAAACATTGATAAATATGAGAAATGGGTCTTATATTTAGTATCAAAACCAAATCCTATATTAAGGATTGGAGGAGTAGTAATTAATTAAGAAAAGGATATGTGAGATTGAGAAATTACGGCTAATTTGGAGGTCAAAGGATCATATCCGCAGCCACCCGATGCAAAACACACGCCTGTGGGCAGATCCTGAGGTTGCAGATTCGGATCCAAATATGCTGGCAGCAGTTGCTTGATTCCCAATTCTTCCACTGACACAATAATATTGTTGCTTATTAGTTGTAATTCCCAACGAATATACCCTACTTGCTTTGCACTCTTCTTGAATGTTTGTTTTCCAAATTAATGAAGTATTCGGTGATATTTTCTTAGACTTCAAGGAATCTATGTAATCTTGAGCAAATCAGAAACCCCCCGTTCTCTCCACCCTCTTGTCACCACGTGATTCAAACTGAAACCTATTATATATTTATGTGTGTATTAATTTAATTATGATCCTCCCCAGTTCCCATGTATCAAAATATTACCTCTAGTTCTTGATGTTAAATTTCCTCTTAAATATCAAATTTTAATTTATTTTGTTATCTTCAAAATTTATAATTTCTTCTCTAAAGTATTCATATTAATCGTAAATGGTTCTTACAAGGATAGTTCCAATATAGATGATTAAATAAGATAGTTTAGGAAAGCGAACATATATTTTTTTATAAATAACTAATTTAATTAGTTTTTTTAATATTTCAAATTAATTATTAATCTCTTATATATATTGAGAACACACTGGAGGTAATATACAGTAAGGTTGTAATTTGTGGCAGCAACAGGTGGTGCAGCAAACAAAATGACATTGACTGAATTATATGTTACTAGTGATGAGTATATCATGCTACGACGTCATGCATCTCGTTAAAGTTTAATGGCAATTTACAATTTTTTCCTTTGCTGCATAGGGTGGTGAAATAATGATGTCCAATTTTAATCAATTCTTAGAATTGCTTAAATTATTTTTAAAATCACATTTGATCCCCTCTTAATATATTTAATAGTGTTATTATAGTTAAACTTTTTAATCAATTCCATCCAATCTTGAATACAAGAATTAAATAGCTAATGCATGTAAATTGATAAATTTAGGCAAATCATATAGTTGTTTTAGTTGTTTGAAAAAAAAAGAAGCCTTGTTTTACTTAAGATACATAACTGCATTTGACTCATTATATTCACGTTTCAGGGAGTAATAATAGGGTAATCTGAGAAAAACAATATATATGAAAAAAAAAAAAAGAGTCGATTGATACAATCTTATATCTATAATTAAAACAAACTCTCAGCTAGCTCATTTACATTTAGAACTTGACGAAATATAAAATTTATTGTGAAAATAATAAATCATGAACATTTGTCTCATCTAAAACTCCATGTAATATTTGAAAAATGTGTCTAATTGAATTTAAAATGTAAAATTTATAGTACGTAAAATGATGCTTAACTAGAAGCAGCAACGCACCATAACATGCGCTCCATTCTTTTGACTTCATATGTCTGCTAGGAGGTGGCCTGCCTTTATCATTTTATTAAAAAAAGAATTACTAAAAGTTCTTAATATAAGAACTACATTCAATTTGGTTTTAAATCTAATTTACTTTATTTTCATATTTATCTACTTTTTCTAAAGTAGTCTTAGTAAATGCACATGTTAAAGATTTTATTGAATGGTAGTTTTACCTAATGTATTTGATTAAAATGGTATTTTAAGAAAGACAACATATATTTATTACTAATAATTAATTTAATTAATTTTTTTAATATGCTAAAATTAATAAATTAGCTCTTATATTACTCACGTCATGCACATCATCACTTAATGTATTATCGTGTTTAATGTACTCGTAAACCTTTGTCCTTTGATAATATATATAAGATATAGATTTTTATGATGATCATGGCTTCATTAGACACTAAACGCACCTTGTGATTAACCTTCACGTCAACATAACCACCCCAACCACTTCGGACAGAAATTAAATACTGTGTATTGAATGACAAAATCCAAGTTTAAAGGGTTGAGAGAAAGAGTTTCGAATTTGCAACAGAAACAAACAAGAAAAAGATTACTGTGGAGAAGAAAGAGAGTACCAATGAGATCGGAGGGAACTTTTCCGTTGCCGAACCGACCGGTGGGGATGCCTCCTTCGAAGTCCTTGCCATAGGGCCTGTAATTGCATCGAGCCAACGTCGTCGGGTTGTAGTTATTGTTCCCTGTGTCCATTATGGAATCTCCGACCACCAACACCGCCGGTACCGTCGCATTTTCCGGCAGCTTCACCACCCCCTCCGTTTTCCACCATAGCACTGATGATGATAACAGTACAATCATCACCACCCCAAACACTTCCGACAGTCTCTCACTGCCACGTACTGCAACCATTGCACCTGCTTCGTTGCTTTTTGCTCTTTATTCTCTACACGTTCATATGATTGGGGATTGCACCGGTGATTTTTCCTCCACCTCAAATCTCTCATTTTGGGTTCCCTGTTGCCTTCCTTTATGTACAGTCTCTCTCTCTCTCTGTGTGCGCGCTTTTAGGTCAATCTCATTTATTGCACGTGCATTAAATCAGTTCATCTAACATACTGGCATTTGAAACGTATGGACGTGATTGCGTGTTTCTTTGCGTATATAGCCAGACCGCGTCTCAGAGTCAGAAGTCAATAAATCCAGCCCATACCACGTTATTTTGCTCAGTTACTTTTAAGTCATATTAATATATTATTGCAGTTCTTAGGTTTTTTTTTTTTTGGCCGAAGGCAGTTCTTAAGTTGATTGCCACGACTTTCGGAATATAAAATCACGTCAGAAGAAACTCGTTGTTGTTCTTAATTTTGTCTCCCTGTATATTAGCTTGGTAGAAGAAGAAAACGCCTAAGGGATCTATGCATACTACCTCCATTCCTTAATACTACTTCTAATCTTAATATAAAATTAGTTAACTAATTTGAGTATATTAAAAAAATTAGTTAAATTAGTTATTTATAATAAATGAGTATGAAAATTAGTTAAGTACTTAAGTCAGTTATTTATGATAAATGAGTATTGTCTTTCCTAAAATATTTTCGTTAATAAAATGTATTGTCTAGAACTACTATTATTATAAGGATTATCTTAAAAAAAAAGGTAAATACAATAGACAAAATAGATTGGGATCTTATATTTAGGACCAAAATAAAAGTCAAATGATTTTTTATGTTAAAGACCAGAGGTAGTATAAGAGTTAGCTGATTAATCTGAGTAGGTTAAAAAAGTTTGTTAAGTTAGTTATTTGTAATAATTACTTATCTGATCCTATTTATAAGTCACTTTTAACATGTTTCACAAAGACTAAGAAAAACTTTAAATTTCATTAACTTTCATTTAAAAGCATACCACTTTTCAACTTTATTCTTATTTAATATACATTATACCTCATATAAATAAAATCAACACAAAAAGGTAAAATTATATATCTATATAAAAAAATTTCTCTCAATGCCTTATAAATATGATCAAAAAATACATTCTCTTTTTACCTCATAAACAGGACCAGAGGAGTAGTAGATGTTAGTCTTTTTTAAAATATCTTAAGCTAATCAAATGTATTGATTAGAACTCTCATTGTTGTAAAGACTATCATTAAAAAAAAAAAAAATAAAATGAATTAAACTCTTATATTTAAAACTAAAATAAAAATTAAATAAATTTTTATACTAAAGAGCTGAGGTAGTATTAGCTTGCCGACGTGTGAAGCTGTGAAATCTCTTGTTCTTCGGATAATTCACAGGTTTCCATTTTTGGCCGATATCGAGTTCGGTGGCCTGTGGCGATTTATGAGATCTCTCAAGGATGGGGATGCAGATGTGCGCCGCATGGCTTGGGATTTGGGATTTTTAATGAAATACCCAATCTTATAAATGTGTCTTTTTTTATTATTAGATTCTAAATAAAATAAACGATGTTTTAATAACGTAGGTTAATAAAATAGTACTATAAAAAATTACTTTAAAATATCACTCATTTGTTTTAAAATCTAATAATCAGAAGAAAAAATATTAAAAAAGAGGTTGGAATATTACAGAGAACATTAGCAAAAAAGGCACATTAAAGACCTCAAGTGGTCGGAGCAAGAGAGAGACTAGACGAGTGCATCTGGAAAGTCAGAAAAATTGGAAAATCGGCCGGTGGGAATGCCTCCCTGAAAATCTTTACCACGAGGGAAATCAAACTTCATCAGTGTTCCAATAATGTTGTTCTTAGTTTTATCCAGAAATATAACGAATTGCCAAAAGCCAGTGATCACCGCCGGGCGGTGGAGCTGAGCTGTCACATTTGGCGGGAGCTTCACCAATCTCTTGGTTTGCCAGAAAACTGTGTAAACGTTATTATTAACTGCTGTGACTAATATAAGAGTTAATTGACTAATCTGAGTAGATTAAGAAAATTAATTAAATTAGTTATTTATAATAAATAAGTAAATATTAACTTGCGTAATTTAGTACTACCTTCGGTCCAAAATATAATACCTTGTTTGATTTTTATTGTGGTTCTAAATATAAGACTCCAGTCCATTTTATCTCTCATATTTATGTAATTTTTTCTCAAGATGATCCTTTTAACAATAATAGTTCTAACTAATACCCTTGATTAGCAAGGATATTTTAGAAAAAATAATACATATTTATTACAAATAATTAACTTAATTTTTTTAATCTTTTTAAATTAGTCAGTTAGCTCCTATAATTAGGATAAGAGGTAGTATAATTTTTGACCAAAAAATACGTAATCATCATCATCATTCACTAATGGCTAATTGGAGAGATTATGGGTCACTTGCTGCCTGCTTGGGTGTGATTTCTGGCCCACTGGGTTGTGGCCGCCTTGCAGGACCTGAGTAGGTCTGACCAAGGCCGCCGGGGCACATGACTTCAACTGCTTCAATAGTTTATTATCGTTGCACAAAATTTAGCTGCGAAGGCAGCACATGATTGGCTTTAATTTCCAACCGGAGCTGACACATGCATAACATATATGGGAACAGTTGAACGTATGGTTTGATTAAAGTGAAGTCTCGCAGCTCATTCTGTTGGGAAAATCTGCAAAATTAACAAAATTTTTGGTTCAAGATGCGTGGCAAAAACACGTCTTATACTCTTCTAGTTCTCAATATACAATCTAATGAATTAATTTGAGTCAATTAAAGATGTTAGTTAAATTAGTTAATATAACATGTATTTTTTAAAATAATATAAGTATTTTTCTTAATTGCCTCTCTTTTTTTCCTGCTTGATTATTACCTGAGAAATATTAATAAAGTTAATTTAAAAAAATTGATAAACATATTAAATATATCTTATATATATAACTAACGTTATATCAACTTAGGTCATACGTTAAGTACCGAAAAAGTATTATGCAATCCTCAATGATTTAGAACGTGACACTCCTCATCAAAATTAAACAAGTTCTTCCAGTAGAGCGAAATATTAAAAAAAAAAATCAACAAATAAAAAGTTTATTTTTTCCATTCAAATGGAATGATAGGGAGGGTATTTATGGATAATGAAAAAGGTGTCATAAAACTAACATAAATTTCTGGATGCCTCGGTCAGACCGTGGAATCAGGCAGCCTGTGGACTGTGGAGGCGTAATTCGAGACGAGAAGGGAGAATGGATCACGGGTTTCGGACAGGGGCTTGGATTATACCATGTAGTGGCGGCAGAGATAAGGGCAATTAAGGTGGCACTGCAAGTGTGTGCAGAGCTGAATCTCAAGGATATTTGGGTCTTTTCAGACTCATTGGAAGCTATCAATGTCCTACTCCGTGACAGCGGAGGAGATCATCCTCAGACCTGAGATTGAGGAAACTACAAATATGTTATACGGGGATAGCGATGTGAAGTTAGCCTACGCAAGGCGAGAGGAGCTACAGTGTGCTGATATACTTGCACGAGAGGCCCATATGGACGAGGATCAGAGGGTACTGCTACCTGAGATACCCAAAAGTTGTCGAGCAGAGGTACTTCGTGACCAGCAAGGGATGGAGGAAACGGTCTAGCCTCCATGCTGCTTCTTTTCGTCTTTCCTCAAGCTCAGACTTGCCGTTTGTAACCAAAAAAAAAAAAAAACACACATATTTAGAATTGAAACCCCAAAAGGCATAAGAGAAAACTCATACTCAGTTCCTGGTTTATCATGTTTTGATTGAAATCAGTTCCTGTAGTCATATATACGGTAGTATTCTTTAGAAAGTCCCCCTTATAAATTACTCCGTCAGGGGCGTTACTCTTCACAATGATAAAATTACAAAATGGCTCGAGGACATGCGGAGCAAACGGCGTGAAAACATACGAGTGGCTTGCGGTTCTTCTGCCTCCACGGAGCTCCGCATCAGAGATCAGAACAGGGGAATTTCCTTCCTCCCTCATCTGTTTCTTCGTATCACACTAGCTTGTAGTATAAACAACTAAAAATCCCACCACTCTACGGTGACAGGCCTTTCTCGTCTCCCTCTGCTTCTGCTGAATTGTTATTTGCCCATGCAGCCTTTTTCCTCAATCGGCAGTGAGGAAAAAGAGGAAGTGAGACCAAGAGAAGTACGGAACAGCCCTTCTACATGCTACTGTAATATGGACGATGAAGATAAGATTACAATTGGGAAAAGATGATAAATTAAATGAGCTTAGAGTACGTTACAGCTGAATTGGCCCTCCGTATTTGGAAAGCTCTTGCATCAGACACATAATATAACTGAAGTAATCTTCCTGCATATCTGGAATAATGCTTCTTCCTTGACAAGGTAATGCGTCTCTTTATATCCTCAGCAACCACAAGAACGAGTAAGCTACTAAGGTGCTCTGTCAAACTCTGTTTTTAGGATCAGAAACAGAGGTAAACCAAAGAAACTAGGGGCTTTCTGTGCTGTACTAAAAATATTGATCTAAGGGTTAGTAAGGGCTAGAAAAGGAAGAAGAGGGAAGAGGATGAGAGGATTTTTATTTTTGGCAAACAAAAGAAATAACATTTAAAAACAAACGAAAGTTCTACGGACTGAAATTCAGAGACAGCGAAACATAAACAGCAATACTGAAACTAGCAGCAACTCGTCCAAAATCCAACGGCAGCCTAATTGAATAATCCTTTGATAACAAGATCTGCAGTTGCAAAAACCCAATCATCGGACACAACCCTTTTAAACAAGATTTAATATATTAGCACTAACCCAATCTATCGCTGTATTTGTTTCCCTTCCACTCCTACCTCGCAAGTTAATCTGCACATTGATTTGATAATGAAGTTAAATACTCCGGTTCTAAACGTAATACCTTTATATATAAAATCTTTATATTAGTGTGTATAAGAGTTTTACATTTAGGATCGGACGAGTAATCATACAAGTTTTTATTAATTACTAATATAAAATATATGCACTTACAGTATATATTAAATAATGATAATGAATTCAAAGAGTCAATATTTGTCAACTCTTGCATTTATATTCCCCTCACTCCTAAACATAGGAATTAGCGGAAATGGATACTAAATATAAGATATTAATAGTTAAAATTATTTTTATTAATTACATGCATCAAAATATTTACATTAATGGGATGTTCTTAATGCAATTGATCAGAGGATATTTTAAAAAAAATAATATACTTTTTCTACCAAATAACTAATTTAATTATTTATTTAATCTTTATAAATCACTTATTGAATTTTTATATTTGAGATTGGAGGAAATATATAAGAGTGACATGAATGATTCTACATCCTATTCTTAATATAAGATTTTGTTTGATTTTTATTTTAGTCCTAAATATAAGACTCCAATTAATTTTATCTTTTATATTTATATATTTTTCTAAATACTTCTTTTAATAATGTTAATTCTAGCTAATACACTTGATTAGCAAGGATATTTAAAAAGACGATACCTATTTATTACAAATAACTAACTTAATTATTTTTTTAATTTTTTATATTAATCAACTAACTCTTATAATTAGGATTAGTAGTATACAGTAGTCTCTTGATAGGGGAAAAAACCGCAAATTAGGGGGGGGACCATATGGGCGGGGTGAATGAAAGGTTAAAACGCGATGGAGACGTGCGGTAGAGTTAATCTGAGAGTGAGGCACGAGCTCTTGTCTGCCTCGTCGTCTTCGGGTATGATGATGACGAAATAGATGGGCAACCCCCAACTAACTCCCTTTATCCCAAGCGTGGAGTAGATGTAACCAATTATTTCCAACCAATATCATATTGTAGTTTTTTCTCATCAGATTCAAAGCTATATATCCCTTTAACACTCTTATAATCTCCATAAATGAATGTCCAGTGTCACTAATTAACATAAAATATATCAAATCTATAGTTCTATTCATTCCTTAGACTTTGTGAAATACATATATGTAGGAGAGCCCCACACCTAGCTAGCTTTAATGGTCACTTGGTGCTGGTGACTAATTAATAATACTAACGCTGAATAATATTTTCGACAAATAAGGATAAACAACTGAACAGAAAGAGGACACCAAATATAGAGACAACTGAAGTCATGTATCCTATGATATGATAATGAAAACTATCACCCCATGACTCAAATGACTGAAGATTTTATTGATCTGATCTTTGCATTTTGCTGCTGAAGCAATTCATCTTCTTTAACGATTTGCTTCTGCTATATCTATTATAAGTAATGAAGATTGTGTGGGCATTACTAATATTAATATATCCTGAGAATTTGTGTCAGAAGAATTGGTCCATATATTTAATGAGAATGGGACGGATGAGCTTTCTGTAAGCAGCTTCAGTTGGATGAAAACTATCCCAGAACACATATTCTGAATCAACTGGGCATGTCGGTGTAAGATGATTGCATAACTCTGTCACCTCTATTGTGCCAGTGCCACAGCATCCTTTGTCCCCCACCTTGAACCCTGCAATGGATATATATGCATGTACATAATAACTTGTTCAAATGCTTCCAAATGCCAATATTAACAAACAGTTACTTATATATCTCTTTGGTTTGAATTCAGTATTCTCAAGTCACTCTAAACTTGAGACTAATTCCAGTTGATAAGTCTTAGTGTTTAAGATATAGTCCTCCAACAAATTTACTTTTTTTGGGAACTATATCAACTTAATTATGTTCTTCCGTGAGGCCGTTAACCAACAACCTGGAATGATTGATGATTTATAGGTAGGAGGTAATTATATGCCATTATATAGAGGAGAGGCGGCATATAGTGATTTAAAAGTGAGAGGAGTAATGAATGGATGATTACCATATTTTTGGTAGTTGAGGATTACATCAAGCAGAGGGCTGTAAACATCAATGTAAACAATTCTGCTGCTGGGCAATTGGCGATTCAGGGAAGCCATCTCTTTGGAGAGCTTAGAGTTAAATAACTCCGCTGCCTTGTTGTATGTGTCTACGCATTTTCTTTCTACTCCTCCGGCTAATGTTCTCTGAGATGGAACACATCCTATTGGCGGCGCACTGAACACTCCCACTCTTCTTACCCCCGCTTCGTATAAATCCTTTTAATTCATATCACGCAAGTTCTTCAGATTCAGTAAAACTACGATTGACTTGCTTAAGCTAAAAAACAATTCATTTCATTCACTGTTGGTACCTTTACTAAGTTAGAAGCAGAAGTGGCCATAAGGTCCGTGTAAGCAGGAACATCGTATTGGACTTGCCTGGCGCGAGACAAGAAGTAAGTGTTGGAAATATCATTACTTCCTGCTACCACGAAAACGAGGCTGTTCGATATGATGAAATCGCTTCTTTCTTCTCCAACAACTGCCTTTAACTTCTCCTTGTATTGTCGGAGCAACTCTACTTGAGCAGGCAAAGATATTGCTGACTGATTCGGTGGTAGTATTCGAAAAATATATATACATGTATATGGGAATGAGACGAGTTATTTACAGTAATCAATTGTGAAATGAATATCTAATAAGATTGACATATACCGCTAATTCGGGGGTCAAAGGATCGTATCCCGTGCCGCCGGATGCAAAGTTGACGCCGGTGGGCAGATCCTCGGGCCGGAGATTCGGATCCAAATATGCCGGCAGCAGTTCCTTGATTCCCAATTCTTCCACTGATACCATATATGTATGTGTGTCACGTTGTTGTTGTAAATATTAGTATGTTGCTTTGTTCTTGGTTACATTATTTATTAAAGTTGATACGCCTCATTTATTCTATCACATTGTTGACTGTACTTGTAAACTTTTGGCATAAACTCGCCGGTCGTTAATGGGTTCTTATAAATTCTACTTTATCATCGACGTACAGAAAATAAATCATCACGTCATCAATTGGAAAGTGAACGCACTTTAATTTGTACAGCTAATTATGGCCACTTTAGTAAAGTTTATGGGAAAAATAAAATAAACACGGAACGCACAGTTAACAATTAGATGTGTCACTTTGAATGTACTAGCAGGTCCAAAAATGCTGTGGAGAAGGAAGAGAATACCTATGAGATCGGAGGGAACTTTTCCGTTGCCGAATCGGCCGGTGGGGACGCCACCTTCAAAATCTTTGCCATAAGGCCTGTAATTGCATCGAGCCATCGTCGTAGGGTTTTGGTTATTGTTCCCCGTGTCCATTATGGAATCTCCGAGCACCAACACCGCCGGCACCGTCACGTTTTCCGGCAGCTTCACCAGCCCCTCCGTTTTCCACCATAGCACTGATAACGCTATTATCACCACCCCAAACACTTCCAACACTCTCTCCCCGCTACGTACTGCAGCCATTGTGCCCGCTGCTTCCTTGCTTTCCGCTTTTCATTCTCCATCCTCGTATATATATAATGGTAGATTGTACTGATGCCTCTTCTAGTTGTAAACAAGATCTTATGGTTAGCAAGTAGTACTACTATTCAAAAGCAATTAATCATACACCCTCCAGCTAAATCTCTCATTTCGGTATTCTCTTGCCTACCTTTATTGGCAGTTTCGCTCTCTCTCCCTCTTTCTCACACACACAGTTTAATTAGTTCGACCTCATTTATTGAAGGCGCATTAAATCTTTCCATCTAACAACAGAACAGGGCCTCATAGCATATTGAAACGAATGGACGTGCTTGCTCGTTCATTTACATATACGATAAATCGGATCCAGCCCATCCCCACGTTATTTTTGCACTGTTGCTTTGGAGTCCTTGCAATGTTTAATTAGTTTACCTTAAGTTCGGGGCACTGATCGCGCCTCAGATCCTCCATATCATGTCCCACTGAATATGTAATAATCGTTGTTGTCACTTAATGAGTTTTCTCATTTCTGACCCTTATCCTCTAACCATTTACAGAAGAAAAATCATCAGTATATGTCACAGTGGCATCAGGGCTTTAACTTCCTAAGTTGGGCAGAGAAAAAAGAAAACTTGGGTTGTTTCTTTTATATATATGTCAGCTTGAACACATGATAACATGTGAAATGGCTTGGTCTTTTGTGTTGTTCCCCCCCCCCCTTCTTTTTACTCAGACTGACGTATAAAAGTGGCGTTGCTGAGCTATGGTGGAGCATTATATTAGATCCATCTAGTCAGTGCCTTTTCCCCTAAAATTTAATGCGCAACCAATTAATTTATAGGATAACGGAAAAAAGACGGCTTATAGTGTTTCCTCTGTCTTCGTGAAAAATTGTTATCCATCACCCTCAATTCATTTAACTCTAATAATTTAATCATCGAAAGCAACCATATCTCCAATCCCTTTTGTAACATGCCCGATAGACATACATGCGTACCTATATATACAAACATATATTCAGATATATTCATATATAAAACATTCTGTCTGAAAAAAAATCGGTTATAAATAGCTGTTTGGAAATTTCGATAATTATAAAGACTTGATATGTTTTCATCCACAAGATATATTGGTACGAGAAAACATTCAAGTTTTTATTAATAAAATTTTAAAACAATGTACATTTTTAACTAATTTTTTTGTTATCAGGTTACATCAAGCAAGCGGCGCGCGTGTCTACAAATAATTTGAGATATTTCGTAACAAAAACGTTTCTATGGAAGCCAGCTGCGCAACTTGACTCTACTCTGTAATATATCACTCTATTCATATTTATAAGTAACTTGTACCTAAGCCTACAAGTTTACAAATCAAAAAATACATTCAATTGATATTTTTTTTTTTCACTTTTTGCCTTTATTGAAGGAAAGATATTAAAAATATGTTTTATATTTTCTCCTACTTATCTAAGTCGAGAGGGGTAAATTTGAAAAAACTCATTAATTACCCCAACTTATATTTAGGAACCAACTTTTTTTTTTTTAAGATTAGAAGTGACTTATAAATAAAAATAATTTGTAACTATGTAAGAAAGACAAGGCAACATGACAATCTGAGGGTTAAAATTTATTACAATCAATATTCAATATGCCCAACGATAATTATGAGGGAAGTTAAGCAAACTCACATAGGAGAAAAAACGAGTTTAATTTGATGTTTTCCACATGCAGTAATTACTCACGCTTTTGGGGATTTACTCTAACTTGACTATGATTCAGTTGTTTGATTTATTTTTAATCATAAGTTTATTATTAACCATATTAGAAATAACCATAATTGAGTCAAGTGACAAAATCTTCACACCCCTTAAGGTTGAGAGTTCAATACTGTAATGAAAAAAAACTGTGTTGGGAGAGTCGTCCCATTTGAAGGGATGAAACCAGAAAAGAAATTGGTAGAGGGGGGATGAAAAATGTAATTATTAATAATTATTTCAAATAAATATTATAATTCTTTTTATAGTAATTTTTGCAGTCTTTTTTTTTCAATAAATGCAACGGTGATATGAATGCAACCAAACTATTTTATATAGTTTATTTTTTATTGTTATTTCTCCTTTATCATTCAATTGAGTATTAAAATATATCTATGTTGCTACTTTAATAGCTTGAGACATTGCCAGTGAGTTTGTCACCCAACTTGAGATCCTGTCATTATTTAAAGCAAGTTTTTACGAGTCTAAATATCAGCCAATGTGTAGTGTGTATACCAAAAATAGTTGTTATATATATAGTGCACCACAAATATAATGAATCTCCAAAAGTGATCACCGCCGGTGGAGCTGTCATATTCGGCGGCCTCAGTATCACCATCACCGATATCCCTTTATTTCCCAGAAAACACACACCGCTAAGATGTATTAAGTTTCTGTGTATATATGTAGACCTGATATTATTTTCAATGTGAGGAGGTTTTGGTCATTTAATTTATTTATTAATATACCAGAGACAGTTAACGACATCCCATTTCCTTGATTATTACAAGTATGCAGTCTTCGAAGGCATATACACTATTATTTGTTAGCTTTCCAAGAGCGAAGTCTCGCAGTTCATTCAGATTTGAAACCCCAAAGGGCAAAAGAGAACAAAAATTAAGGGAAAAATAATACTCAGATCCCTATAGTTTTATTATCATGTTTTGAAATCAGTTCCTGTAGTTATATAATTTAGAAAGCCTCCAAGTTATGTTCTTCTTCCAAGGAATTCCACATCAGACATAAAGAATAGGAGAATTTCCTCCTTCGTCTTCTTGTATCTACTATGATATATCACAGCTTGTATGAACAATTAAAAATCCCGCCACCCCACAATTAAAAATCACAGCTTTTGTGAAGTGTTGAAAAAATAAATGGAAAAAGTTCCTTAATCCCAAATTAATTAGCTTTTTCTTTTTGCATATGGTCATTAGTCTTTAGAAGAAATCACATAGAGGGTTATGGTGGGTTATGGTCCAGAGTTAAACAGCAAGCTGCATAATCAATCGGCAGTGGGGAGATAAAGAGGAAGTGAGACCATGGGAAAGCACATGCGCGGCAGCCCTACTTCATGTTACGTGGAGGACTACGAAGATAAGATTACAATTGGGAAAAAAATGATAAAGAAGCCTAGAGGATATTCATCAAAGTCGATTTTTTCTTCTATAGAATAAAAAATTCAGGTGAGGTGGATCTCGGGAGCACATCAAAACCAGAACATGCATTCAAACTCAAAAAATACTTACAAATCACCTATCAACAGGGTTTTTATATTAACAGTGAGATTTAAACTCACAACCTTGTGGGTTATAAACTAACTCCTTACTAACTAGTTTAACTCTTGTATTGACCCTTCTTAATTAAAAAGTATTCTCTTATTGGAAGCAATCATATTTAAGGCATTGTCGGGTACTAATTGTTTGTATGTCTCCCAGCAGAAATTCAAACCTTAGTTCACCATCTTATGAGGAACTAACTTCTTCCACGAGATCTAACTCCTGTTGACAACACTATATCTTCCTTTAATAGGCTAATGATTAATTCCCAAAGGAGGCGTAGCCCAAATGTTGAAGCCCCCTTTTTTCCAACCAAAATGTTGAAGTCCACCGCATTTTCCGCTCCATTTGTTTTTTGCCAACAGAAGAAATAACGTTAAATAGACAAATTCCTGTTGGGAAAGATGCCTACATTTAATGCCCAACTGTATTTCGAATAGGATTACCTCCAATAGAAGGATACCTATGCTATAGCAAAAACATTAAATAGATCAAAGGAAGGTTCTACAAACTGGAATTCAGAGACAGCAAAACAAAAACAACCAAAAAAAAAAAGCAACAACAATACTGAAACTAGCAACAACTCATCCAAAATCCAACGGCGCCTAATCGAATAATCCTTTGATAATGAAGTCTGCAATTGCCATAAGGTCTTCACACCCAGTCATCAAACACAACCTTTTGAAAGAAACTTTAATTTATTAGCAATAACCTAATCTATCATTAAATTTGTTTTCCTTCCACTCTGTTTTTCTAGTAAGTTAATCTACGCATTTATTTGATAATGAACTCAATTTATTTTACAATTTTTTTATTAATTATATTCCATATTTTTAATATGAAATAGCTGTACTTACGTTACGTTTCTAGTAACTATATGTATTAAATAATGATAAAGAACTCAAAAAGTCAATATTTCTCAACTCTGCATTTATACACTCCAGCTGTAAGAGTTAGGGTGGGGGTTTGTTTATACAATAATTAAATATAAGATCTCAAAGCAACTTGTCTCCCAAATTTATAATTTTTTTCAAATTCTCTTTATTAATTATATATATTAAATATGTTTACATTAGTAGTGTGATTTTTAATGCAAATAATTAAAGGGAGTATCTTACAAAAATTAATGCACGATTTTTACAAAAAAAAAAAAATAATTCAATTAACTTGCTCAACAATTTCTGTAAATTAATGATCAAGCTTCTAAATTTAGTATTGAAGAGATTTTATACATATAGACTGATGTGAATGACACATAGTAGCGGGTTGATGGGAAAAAAGCAGCGCAAATTAAAAGAACCGAAACAATATTATATTGGCGGTGTGAATGAAAAGCTAAAGCTCAATGGAGACGCGGAGTAGGGCAGTAAATATGAGCCTGAGGCGCGAACTCTTCTGCGACGTCGTTTTTGTGTATGATGAATAATGAAGAAACAGACTAGTAAGCGCCAACTAATCAATTCACTATGGCAAGCGTGGAACAGACGTAAGGGTGTTTTGATAAAAATCAAATCATAATTTTAAAAGTAATTTTATAATATATAAAGAAAATATATAAAGGAGTTTGTCTTGATTTATCAAAAAGTGTTTTTAAAAAATATTTTTAGGTAAATCCAAACACCTTGTAATCTATTATTTCCAACCAATTATCGTCCACCTTTTGTTTCACCAAATTTAAAGCTATCCCTTTTAACGCTCTGTAATCACTATCAATCAATGTCAAATGTCACTAATTAACAAACAATACCAAATTTATACGAGATACTTCCAACTTATTCTATACAAATAAAGAAAAATCTTAAAATGCATTAATTTTTCATTAAAATATAATAACTTTTTAATTTAACCTCTATTTATTATATACACCTTTAAAAAACTAACTATTTACATTATAATAAATAAAAGATAAAATAGTACATTCATACTAAAAATTTAATGAAGTGTCTTATAAACAGCATAAAAAAAATTCTCTTTCTACCTTATAAATAAGACCAAAGAAGTGGTTCTCTATTCATTCTTCACACTTTGTGAAATACTCCTTCTAGTCATTTTCATAAGAGCTTAATTACTAAATTACATAGGTTAAAAAAACAGTTAAAATTAATTGAAGTAGAATCTTATTAAAAAGATTAAAATAATTTAAATTTTAGGCTCTTATAAAAACCACAGCAAGGAGTACATGTAGGAGAGCCCCACTTAGTTTTAATGGTCACTTGGTCTTAGCTAGTGACTAATTAATTAATACTCCTATTGAATATATATTCAACAAACAAGGATATAAGCACACCAAATAGAGACAATTGAAGTTGAAGCCATGCACCCTATAATACATGACAATGAAAACCATGAACCTAGGATTCAAACGACTGGAGATTTTATTGATCTTGGCATTTTGCTGCTGAAGCAATTCATCTTCTTTAACGATTTGCTTCTGCTATATCTATTATAAGTAATGAAGATTGTGTGGGCATTACTAGTATTAATATATCCTGAGAATTTGTGTCAGAAGAATAGGTCCATATATTTAGTGAGGGTGGGAAGGATGAGCTTTCTGTAAGCAGCTTCAGTTGGATGAAAACTATCCCAGAACACATATTCTGAATCAACGGGGCATGTCTGTGTAAGATGATTGCATAACTCTGTCACCTCTATTTTGCCAGTGCCACAGCATCCTTTATCCCCGACCTTGAATCCTGCAATGGATATATATGTATGTACATAATAACTTGTTCAAATGCTTCCAAATGCCAATATTAACAAACAATTAATTATATATCTCTTTGGTTTGAATTCGGGTATTCTCAAGTCACTCTAAAGTTGAGACTAATTCCAGTTGATGAGTCTTAGTGTTTAAGATATAGTTCTCCCAATAAATTTACTTTTTTCGGGAACTATATCAACTTAATTATGTTCTTCCGTGAGGCCGTTAACCAATAACTTGGAATGATTGATGATTTATAGGTAGGAGGTAATTATATGCCAATATATAGAGGAGAGGCGGCATATAGTGATTTAAAAGTGAGAGGAGTAATGAATGGATGATTACCATATTTTTGGTAGTTGAGGATTACATCAAGCAGAGGGCTGTAAACATCAATGTAAACAATTCTGCTGCTGGGCAATTGGCGATTCAGGGAAGCCATCTCTTTGGAGAGCTTGGAGTTAAATAACTCCGCTGCCTCGTTGTATGTGTCTACGCATTTTCTTTCTACTCCTCCGGCTAATGTTCTCTGGGATGGAACACATCCTATTGGCGGCGCACTGAACACTCCCACTCTTCTTACCCCCGCTTCGTATAAATCCTTTTAATTCATATCACGCAAGTTCTTCAGATTCAATAAAACTATGATTGACTTGCCTAAGCTAAAAAATACTACCTTCCATCCTTGATATAAGAGCTACTTGACTAATTTGAGTAAATTAAAAAAATAAATTTTAGTTATTTGTAATAAGTAAATGTTACATTTCTTAAAATATTCTTGCTAATTAAGTGTATTAGCTAGAATCACCATTATTAGAAGGACTGCTTTAAAAAAAATGCATAAACATAAGAAATAAAATGAATTGTGGTTTTATATTTATGACTAAAATAAGAGTCAAACAAGATCTTATATTAAAAACCAGAGGAAGTGATTCATTTCATTCACTGTTGGTACCTTTACTAAGTTAGAAGCTGAAGTGGCCATAAGGTCCGTGTAAGCAGGAACATCGTAGTGGACTTGCCTGGTGCGAGACGAGAAGTAAGTGTTGGCAATGTCATTACTTCCTGCTACCACGAAAACGAGGCTGTTCGACATGATGAAATCTCTTCTTTCTTCTCCAACAACTGCCTTTAGCTTCTCCTTGTATTGTCGGAGAAGCTCTACTTGATCAGGCAACGATATTGCTGACTGATTCGGTGGAAATATTCAATGTATATATACATATATATGGGGGAATGAGACGAGTTATATGTACAGTAATCAATTGTGAAATGAATATCTAATAAGATTGATATATACCGCTAATTTGGGGGTCAAAGGATCGTATCCCGTGCCGCCGGATGCAAAGTTGACGCCGGTGGGCAGATCCTCGGGCCGGAGATTCGGATCCAAATATGCCGGCAGCAGTTCCTTGATTCCCAATTCTTCCACTGATACAATATATGTATGTGTGTTACGTTGTTGCTGTAAATATTAGCATATTGCTCTGTTCTTGGTTACATTATTTATTAAAGTCGATACACCTCATTTATTCTATCACATTGTTCACTGTACTTGTAAACTTTTGGTATAAACTCGCCGGTAGTGAGTGGGTTATCAATTCTACTTTATCATCGACGTACAGAAAATAAATCACGTCATTAACTAGAAAGTGCGTGCACTTTAATTTGTATAGCTAATTATGGCCACTTTAGTAAAGTTTATGGGAAAAATAAAATAACTACCGAACGCACCGTTAACAATTAGATATGTATCACTATGAATGTACCAACAGGTCCAAAAATGCTGTGGAGAAGGAAGAGAGTACCAATGAGATCGGGGGGAACTTTTCCGTTGCCGAATCGGCCGGTGGGGACGCCACCTTCAAAGTCTTTGCCATAAGGCCTGTAATTGCATCGAGCTAACGTCGTAGGGTTTTGGTTATTGTTCCCCGTGTCCATTATGGAATCCCCGAGCACTAACACAGCCGGCACCGTCACGTTTTCCGGCAGCTTCAGCAGCCCCTCCGTTTTCCACCATAGCACTGATAACACTATTATCACCGCCCCAAACACTTCCAACACTCTCTCCCCGCCACGTACTGCAACCATTGTGCCCGCTGCTTCCTTGCTTTCCGCTTTTCATTCTCCACGCTCATATATATACAGTGGTAGATTGTACGGACGCCTCTTCTAGTCGTATAGATACAGGTATATTATTCAAAAGAGCTAAATGGACGAGAGTACACTAAACTCATCATATGTAAATCGTTTATATCTCATTTGAATAGTTCAGATTTAAAATTTTTAATTAATTATTTTTAAATAGAAAAAACTATTTTTTAAAAGAATAATAATTAAAAAATTATCTCTATTTTAGATTTTATACATATTAAAGTAATTGTTTTAAATAAATAAAAAAATCAAATATGAAGTCTGAACTATCTAAATGAGATATAAATAATTCAAATTCAATGATTTTAAAGTGCTCATAGTTCAATAACGAGCACTAAAACTGGCCCCGGCTAAATCTCATTTCGGGATTCTCTCACCTGCCTTTATTTACAGTTTCGCTCTCTCTCCCTCTCTCTCACACGCACAGTTTAATTATTTCGACCTCATTTATTGAAGGTGCATTAAATCGTTCCATCGAACCATAGAACAGTACACCATAGCATTGAAACGAATGGACGTGCTCGCTCGTTCATTTACATAGCTTTGAAGGCCTTGCAATGTTTAATTCGTTTGCCATAAGTTTGGCGCACTGGAATCAATTTTGGTGCTTGTGACTTTGATGAGTATATCCTAAACTCATCATATATGAATCATTCATATCTTATTTGAATGGCTCAATTTAATTTGCAGATAATTAATTTAAAGGATAACGGAAAAAGATGGCTCATACTGTTTCCTCTCTCTTCGTGAAGAATTGCTATCCCTCACTCTCAATTCATTCAAGTCTAATTTAATCATCGAAAGCAGCCACATCTCCAATCCCCTTTGTAATATAGCCGATACACATGCAAACATGTGTATACAAACGTACAGGTATATACATATATAAAACATTCTTTTTCATTAATTATAAAGACTCGATCTGTTTTCACACCCAAAAAAAATACTGGTACTAAAAAAAATCAATTTTTTACAAATAAAATTTTAAAACAAGTACTTTTAACTAATTTTTTCCTCCTTAACTTACATCAAGCAGGTGGCGAACGGGTCTACCAATAATTTGAGATATTTCGTAACAAAAACGTTTCCATAGAAGCCAGCTGGGCAACGTGAGTCACTCTATTCCTATTTATATTTATAAGTGACTTGTAGCTCAAGGTTACAAATCAAGAAATGCATTAAATTGATGTTTTTTTCACACTTTTCTCCTATTAAATGAAAGGTATTAAAAAATACTACTTCCTTTGTTTCCTTTAATGAATGACAATGACCTAAACTAAGTTGCTCAAAATTTTAATTAAAATTAATGGAGGATAGTAAATGCGTAAAAATTGTAACCTTTTTGTCAAAAAGACCCTCATCTATGTGAAAGAGAGATAATGTGTGGGAGAAATAATGTGTAAGAATAAAATGCAATAATATGAGTAATATGAATAATTAAATGAGGATAAATTTGAGGCAACCTCTAAGTGTCTTTTATAAAAAGAAATATAGCATACTTCACAATTGTTTCCTATAATAAGAAACGAATGGAGTATGTTTTATATTTTCTCACACGGCCTATTTAAATTAACAAGGGTAAAATATATAAAAAAAATATTAATTATCTTACAAGTGACTTATATTTAAGAATAAATTTTTTTCCTTGACTTGGTATGTGACTACGTGAGAAATATAAGGCAACATGACAATTCCAGGGTTAAAATTTATTATAATCAATACACAATATACTCAACGATAATTATGAGGTAAATTATGCAAACTCACATAGGAGAAAAACGATTTTAATTTAATTTGTTCCATATGCAGTATTTATTCACACTAGTGGCGATTTACTTTAACTTGACTACGATTCAGTTGTTTGATTTATTTTTAATCATAAGTTTGTTATTGATCATACACTAATAATATTAGAACTAACAATAATTGAGTCAAGAAGTGAGAAAATCTTCATACCCCATAAGGCTGGGAGTTCAATACTGTAATGAAGAAAACCGTGTTGGGAGAGCTGTCCCATTTGCGGGGATGAAACCAGAAAAGAAATTGGTAGAGTAGTGGGGGATAAAAATTATAAGTATTAGTAATTATTTTGAATAAATATTATACTTCTCCTTATAGTAATTTTTGTAGTCCTTTTTCAATAAATGCAACGGTGGATGTAACCAAAAGCCTCATAGAGTTGTTGTAATAGCGGTCCACCACTCCTCAGCCCTTTACCTGACACTAGCTAGGTTGTTAGCACATGCACGTGGTTTCTACCCCATTTGTCAAGAGTGCCCCCCGGAGGGGTTGTGATCTTAACCACCACTTAAAAGATGCAGAAACTTAATCACTTATGTATCCTTATTATAGCTTCAATTTTTACTGGAGGGTGAATATGAAGACTTGCGCTTGATTATCAGTGCTTGAAAGGAGGTAGGGCCTATGGCACGAACGGTAAGATCAATCCAGGTTATAATAAAGGAAGTCTTTTGCACTACGACAAGGCCAAATAAAAAAGAAATTAAAGTGGTGGTGGAAGGAGGGGATTAACGATATATAGCACCAATTCGTCGTACGTAGAGTGGACTACCACGTTTAATTTGTGGCAAGTTTTGGTGTCAACCTCAAGCATATGTTCACATTCATGACCACATCTTGTGTCAGTGATTGAAACCAAACACCCAATAACTTGCATTACAAATCCACATTTTATCATAAAATTATCTATCTATTCTCGTTCATGAATCCTGATTCCATCAATAGAGAATATTTTAAAAGTTCCCGAAACCTTTTCGCACTACACCAATCAATATCATTATGACTCATGTTCTGATTCAAAGAAACGGGAGAAAAGCGTCTTGTTGCACTGACTATTTTTGTTACGAGCCTCACGAGTGTTATAAATGGGGTGGGGTTTATAAGTAGTTAAGGGGATCGTTAGTTTTCTATGGGAGAGCACCTAATTAATGGCCGCAAAAAGGGTTGCCCGGGATGAGATAATTGGCAAAAAGCCAAGTGACGCATAATGATATATGGAGATGCTGAGAAAGTTGGCACTTTCATTAATTTCTCCGATTCTCTCCCAATTGGTTGGACCGTAGGTGTGATAATTTACACCCATCATTGATTTGAGATTTTGAGAAGGTGAATACCTAGTCTTACTGCCATTCTACAGGATCGTACATGAGATTTTCACCTCATACACCTCCCGGTGGTCTTCATAATAGAAAAGACATTTGTTGATAAGCCTGTGCTTGTTTGGAGGGATCATCATAAATGATTTAGTTTTCAAATCTTCTCTTTATCATGGGGTAGAGCAACTTGGTAGCTCGCAAGGTTGAAGATAAGGGTCAGGAACATGTGGAAGTCGAACCCATTTCAAGGGAAAAAAAAAAGACAAGAGCATTGATCCTAGAGAGGACATCAGGCCTTCCTCGGTAAGGCGGATCGAACTCTCCATGAGATTCATAGTTGCATTACTTATGGCTTCCTTGTTTGTAGACAAAGCTAATTCGGAATTCGAATCTTGTTCTATTGTTGATCAGAGATTTCTCTACAAGAAATATGAATTGAAGTTTGTTTTGAACTTATGTTCATAATAATTAAAGATGTTTTTATTGAGAGCCCAATATTCACGAAGACGAAACAGTAAGATACTAACTATGGGTGAAAACAGGCCACGCCTATGGTGAGACCTATTTGCCTGAATTTAGCCTGTGGCCTGTGAAAGACCTTTTATTTGGCCTGTGACCTGTTAAGAAGTCTGTATTTTTAACAAATTACAAACAAACATAAGTCAATTCAAAATTACAATAAATTAATCCAAATTATCCAAAATACAAACAAAAAATATGAAATAATCAAATTAACACAATTGTTCTTGTTACAATTATAACAAATCATCAAACAACAAAGCATTAAATCTTCAACATAATTTCTTTTTCTGGTTCAAACACCTGAGAAGAAGAAATCAAATATATATTAGATCATAACAAAATTTAGTAACTAATAAATATAAGAAATGGTATTATTTTTAGAATTCAAAATTTGTACCTTTGGTTTCTTTTTCAAACCATACTTATTGCGAAGCCAATCCCCATCATAAATAAGTGCTTCAAATTTCTAACACTTGTGAAATAACAATTTTAACCTAAAAATAATAATACCAAGCCCAGGCCGCCTGATAGGCTTAACAGGCTTATTATCAGATCTAAGCTTGGCCTGATAAGGTAAACAAGCCATTCTACAGGCTTAAGCCTATTCTGATAGTTAAATAGGCCAGGCCAGGTCAGACTATTTATAGGCTAGGCCACAGGCCCCTGACAGGCTGTCTGGCCTATTTCCACCCCTAATGCTAACTGAAGTGCCCTGCTCGAAAAGAGCGCATTGCCATGGGTGCTAAAAAACTTCACATGCGTGGTATAATTTATGGTTTGGTAGGAAGCATTGAAAATTAGGGATAAAGATTGAGTTTGGGATTGAGAAAATATACTAAAAACATATTTAGCATAAAAAGATTATTTATTATAAGGGATTAGCCAAACATATGTATGTGAGATTGGGGAATATTATGGGAGGAAGGGGTATTTCCCAATCCCATGTAATAAGTAATTACTCAAATTAAATACTCTTCCAGTTCTTAATATAAGACCCATTTAACTAATTTGATTAGATTAAGAAAGTTAAGTAAGTTAGTTAATTATAAGAAATGTGACACGTTTTTCCTAAAATACCATAATCATCTTTCTTAATACCTCATTTCCTCTTCTACTTGATTATGGTTGAGGGAGTATCTATAGGGGTAATTTAGAGAAAATTAATAAATATGAAAAATAGGTTTTATATTTAGGACCAAAACTAACTCAACAATTGGGTCCTATATTATGGACCGGAGGAGTACTATTTTAATGATTTTTTCAATTGTAATCACAATCTTAATCTCTTATTTTCAATACTTCGTATCAAATAAGACTTATAAATCAAAGATTAAGGGACTTTTTAAACCTAACAAGTCAGTCTTTAGGTGAGAGTTAATATCTCAAAAGGGGATATCACGAAGGGTGAGACCAATAAAGTTGGCACCCATTTTGGCCCACCTTTTAAAAAGGGGCTCTTAGAAGTTGTTGCTGCAAACCAAGCCGCATCGTTTCTTGTACCCAAAAAAAAAAAAAGCCTCATCGTTTCGGCTCTGCGAGATCATGTTCAGTGACTTAATGAATCTAAATAAACTGTCCAACAATCTATGTACTACGTGTTGTTCTTAATATAAAAGCTAGTTGATTAATTTGAATAGATTAAAAAACTAGTTAAATTAATTATTTATAATAAATAGATTTTGTCTTTTCTAAAATATTCTTACTAACTAATTATATTAGCTAGAACTATCATTATTACAAGAATTATCTTGAAAAAAAAGAATGAATATGAAAGATAAAATAAATTAGAGTCTTATATTTAAAACTAAAATAAAAATCAAATAAAATCTTATATTAAAAATCGGACGAAAAATATAGGTCATTTAATCATTAGCCCATAGCTCTTTCGGATGCTAACTCATAAAACTATAAGGGAAAATTACACTCAGGTCCTATAGAAGATAATTAATTTCAAAAAAATCCCTAAAAATGATAAAATGATTCTGAAGTCCCTAGGGACCTGTGTGTAATTCATTGTAATTGTGAAATTACTTATTTACCCCATTAATTTTATTGCAACAATCATTTATAATCTCAACAGTGGCTGTTGACAACTCGAGAAGAAGTGGTTGACAACCCCAATAGTGCTCCTGATAACTCACTCTGTGGGATGCCAGGGGCATTGCCGAGGTTGTTAACTACCTCTTCTCGGGTTGTCAACAGTCACTGTTGAGGTTGTAAATGAATTACATTGAGTCCAAATTAATGGGAATAAATATGTAATTTCACAATTATAATTAATTACACACAGGTCCCTGGAGACTTAGAAATTATTTTGGGATTTCTAAGGACTTTTTTGAAATTAACTGTCTTATGTGAGACTTGAATGTAATTTTTTCAAACTATAAAGGAAAACGAAACAGTGCGTGTGGGGCTCCGAACAGGATCCAATTAACGAGGAAGTTCGTCCTCCCTTCACTTGAGGTCCAATTTTGGGGGGCCAACCTGGACTCTTAACTATGCGTCATTTTACCTGTTTTAAGTTGTCAAATGATTCATCTACCCTCCTCTGTTTAATTTTTGCTAATAATGTCCCACCAAAACTAATTTAAGGTAGCGTCAATGAGAGGTTACTTAATTGGTACGCAAACGCAACCTTTGATTTTCCTCATCTTTCACTCGAGATTAATGAATCTGAATATCTTACCATCCTCTCGGTCGCCATGCTCTCATATATTGTGTCCTCTCTCAAGAATAATCTAAATAAACACTAAAAACAACAAATTATTACTTGATTCTTGCATTTTTATTGCTTCACAATTACTTTTAATCACCTCCTATTACATACGAATTCAGCATCTAGTTCGTGAAAACACAAGCAATTATACGCCCATGAATGCACGTAAATTTAACTACATAAACTCGTAAACATATAATCTACGTCGTAAACAGATCAGAGATGACTAAAAACATAGAATTGAAGAGTAGTATGATTTAGGAGAGACCATTCAATTAATACCGCGGGCGTAGTCATCCACGTATTTCTGAAGAATGGGAGGAATGAGCTTTCTGTAGGTTCCTTCGGTAGGATGGAAAGTGTCCCAAAACACATAATTTTGTATATCCGGGCACGTCGGAGTGTATCGGTTGCACAGAAATGCTGCCTCTATAATGCCCGTCCCACAACAACCCCTGTCCGGCACTTTATATCCTATCATAAATTTGATTCAATAATAATAACGCTTAGAATATATTATCTCCGATTCTTAATATATAAGAGCTGGTTTGATTTTTATTTTAATCCTAAATATAAGACCCCAATCAATTTTATCTCTTATATTTATTCATTTTTATAAAGATAGTTTTTGTAATAATAGTAGTTCTAACTAATACACTTGATTAGCAAAAATACTTTAAAAAAGACAACATATATATATTACAAATAACCAACCTAACTAATTTTCTTAGTTTACTCAAATTAATCAACTAACTCTCATACTAAGAAAAGAGATACTCTTCTGATCATTAATATAAAACCCATTTAATTAATTTGATTAGATTAAGAAAATTAGGTAAGTTAGTTAATTATAAGAAAAGTGACACATTTTTCCTAAAATACCATAACCATCTTTCTTAATACCCCATCTCCCTCTTCTACTTGATTATGGTTAAGGGAGTATTTATAGGAGTAATTTAGAGAAAATTAATAAATATGAGAAATTAGTTTTGTATTTATGATCAAAACCAATTTAAGAATTGGGTCCTATATTAAGGACCAGAAGAGTAGTATCAGATAATAACTATATGAAAAAATAAATAAAGGAAGAATTAATTATATTAAGAGTACCATATTTTTTGTAGTTGACAATGACATCAAGAAGAGGGTTGTATATGTCCACGTAACGGATAGTGCTATTGGCAAGAGTACGTTCCAGCTCCCGCAAGCGATTTTCCAGCTTTGAGTTAAATAGCCTAGCGGCCGCGTTTTCTTTTTCTGCACACTTTCTCTGAATTCCTCCGGCTAAAGTTCTCTGTGACGGCACACACCCGATCGGAGGCGCCCCGAACACTCCGATTCTTCGTGACCCCACCTCATATAATCCCTTCCCATCATAATATATATATCCATATATATAGTGTGAGTAATTAATGTTGTTGCAGAAGCTAAAAATGGAGAGTTGGGGAGAGACATGCACGTAATATGTACACATAGTACCTTGACGATGTCGGAGGCACCTTTGACCATTAAGTCAGTGTAAGCGGGGACATCGTACTGGAGTTGTCTGGTGCGAGCGCCATAATATGTGTTGGCGATGTCGTCGCTGCCCGCCACCACCACCACCACACTGTTCTCCATTATGAACCTTGTTCGTTTCTCTCCAACTAGTCCTGTTATCCTCTCTCTGTAATCCTTGAACCATTTCACTTGATCCGTCATTGGGGTCGCTCTCTGATCAAGTATTATGCAGCAATAAATTAATCAACAAGATATATATGATATATCTCAGGAGGGGATATTAATAAGAGACTAGAAACTCATATATATACACACTGCAAGCTGGGAAGTGAGAGGATCATATCCGGCGGCGGCGGAGGCAAAGTTGACTCCGGTGAGCAGATCTTGAGGCTTCAGATTTTTGTCCTTGTATGGCGGCAACAGCTCCTTGATGCCCAGTTCCTCAACTGACAGATGATGATGATCATAATAATAATAATAATAATAATACAGAAAATTATTGAAGAGACATTGTGACGTCCACTATTCTACTTATTTGACTGGACGTCCTCATCAAGAGGGGTGATCCCTTGAACATGATATGGATAGCACTGTATTAACAGGAGAGATGAGAGATGCTTAATTAATCAAGAAACAGGAGATGAGGAAATTAATTGAACCTATAATATCAGAAGGAACTTTTCCGTTGCAACACCGGCCGGTGGCAACGCCGCCTTTGAAGTCTCTGCCATAAGGAAGGTAATTGCACTTAGCCAGTGAGGCCAAATCGTTGTTGTTGCCGGTGTCCATGACGGAATCTCCTAACACGAACACCGCCGGAACTTTCAAATTTGGCGGCAGCTTCACCAAACCCTCGGCTTCCCCGCTCCACCCACCTAATAATAATAATAGAACCACCATCATTGCGACGAGCGACCTTGAAAAAAAACGGCACGGCGGCGCCTTCACAAGAGCCTCCATGGTTTCGATGCTATGAAACCACAAGTAACAAATGAAAAGTATATAATGTCTAGAAGTGTTTCCCACGATCAACGACAGTGGCATATATATATATAGAGGGTCGTATATAGAAAGCTGTCATTTTTAATCATTTAATGCGAGCTTAAGAAGGTATATAATGCATGGGCTCGTGTCCGAAATTATACCCCGGAATTAGATAAGATAAAATGGTAGGCTTTCAGGTCTTAAAGCTCCACACAGGCGAAAATGACTTCCATTCATTCAGCTCATCACGTACGCCTGCAAATATGAATGGATAATATCACTATGGAATTATTTTCCCCCCACATATCTACTAGACTACTATAGTTTTGACTGCTGATTTAATTTAAATCAAATTTTAATGATACGAATTAATTGATGTTTTAAAAATCTTAGATTTAAACTATACAATAAAGAGCAGTGATTGGGGCCTTGGAGGTTGCCGTTGTGTGAACGGTATTGAATATTTCAGCAGGTCTTATTATAGGTTTGAGCTTCACTATCAAATTTTTTTAAAAAAAAATGGATGTTAATTAAAACAACTATCCTCTAAATAAAAAAAAAGTGATTTCATTCAATTTCGTGTGGCCTAAACACAGATAGCAAGCACGGACGAGAAATTAATTACGGCGGCTTAATTAAATATTGTATCAAAAAAAATTGAGAACAAACATAAACTTGAATTTAGAAAATATGTAGGGGAGGTTCTTTCTCAGTTCTCACTATTGTATGTACTTCCGGATCAGGTAATAAAAATAACAAGAAGATAAATGTATGTCTCAAATATTGCTTTCAATTCACATTACTTTTAGAGTAATAAATTATTTTTAGAACTTCTCTTTCCCCATCAGACATTCACCACAAAAGTCAAAAATCCATTAAAGTGATGATTTCTTTGTAAAATGGTTGTTATTTCTAGTTTTAAGGTACATCCTTTTTTTGTTTGGTTAAAGTAAGAGGCCCCCTCTTTCTTTAAGTTCGGTAAGGCCGCAAAATTATCCAATCATATACGGAGAACTCTTCTGGATGAAAAATTCAAAATTTTATCAATAGGAAATTAAATTTCAGGAGTCATCAAATAGAGCCGCTCATTCCTCAAAATTTCGCACCCGGCACCTATTAGTTATAATATTTTCAAAAATTATAATTACCGTCATATTTTGGCAGATTATTAATTATATAGAATTTGTGCATAAACTAGGAATTTTTCCCCCATGCGATGTGCAAATTAACATATTTGATTAGATTTGAAATTTTAATAAATCATACTATTTAAGATGGCTCAAAATTCACTTCTTATATAAGTACGATTTTTTCATTTATTCAAATGGGATTTAAATTAGAGATGTAGAATTTAAGTCTCCGATTAACATATCATTTAATTATTATGCTTCCTATTTAATTTAATATATTCAAATCCTAATTGAAATATTATTCAAATTCAAAATTAATTATTAATTTTTTTATTTGAGTCTCGAATTGAAATCTCATTTGATTTAATACCCAATCAAGATGTTATTCAAATCTCATTGATTAAATATATTTGGATCCCATAATATCATACCTAACCCATTTTTAAATGAATTTGGTATTATAAGTTTTCAAGGATATAGTTGATAGTTGATGGCATAAATCACATTTTTATTATTTTTTATTTTTTTCTGGTGATTACAATTTTTATTTACATACATAAAAATGATTTATATGTACAAATTAAAGTAGTATATTTTTTACTACACTTTTCTTAATATTTTATTTTTATTTTATACCAAATGAGTCTTTAAACACGGTTATGTATGACTACGTACAGAGAATAAGTTTTTCATGCATAAAAATCAAGTCATAATAATTTTCGTATGTTTATTATTGACAGAACCCCATTAAAAAAATTTAAAATTACTAAATCCTAAATAAGAAATTTCTACAAAAATTACTGTTATTTGTAAATTTAGTGTTATAAAAACTTATTAAAATGTCAGGACCAATCCTAATTTGGAATTTGGTAATTTCAAGTTTTGTTTATCCTTACTTTTTTTTTATTAACAAATATTATTATGAGTGTTTTCATTTTACATTTTCACTCACATCAGTCCATTATGCTGTATGAGTTGTGGATTCTTACTCTATGTTTGGTATGAGAAAATTGGAGGGAAAGGGATGAAAGGAAAACTTTTAATGAGCTCAACTTAAAAAATTAAAAAAGTGGGACTATAAAATTTTGATAAAGAGAAGATATAAGATAAGAGAGCAAGCAAAATTAACTTAAAGTTTTTAATCCTAGTTCTCTAAGTTCTACTAAATTGGCCTCATTAAGATTTTTTCTCTGCTTCCCTTCGTTTTTCTCGTACCAAATGGATTTCTAGTTCTTAGTTTAAAAAGAAATCCTTTTCTTTGGTGTGGGGCGGAGGGAAGAAAATGCTACTAGTTCTGATTTTTAATATAAGAACTAGTTAACTAATTTGAGTAGATTAAAAAAACTAGTTAGGTTAATTATTTGTAATAAATATGTGTTGTCTTTTCTCAAATATCATTATGTTGCTAATTATATATATTGGTTAGAACTATTATTTAATGAAAAATTTAACATATATAACTATCATAAGGACTGTCTTAGAAAAAATAAATAAATATAAGAAATAGAATGTATTGCTATTTTATAGTTAGAATTAAATTAAAAGTCAAACTAGCACTGATATTAAGTATCAAACATGGTACTCTCATTAGGATCAGACAAATAAATTCTTAACACTACCTTCGTCTATTATTATAATATCTAATTTTTTGAAGGGTCTGTTCCTTTTTATAAGATCATCTTTGAGTTTATCTGGGTATTTAATACATTATTACCTATTTTGTCTCTAATTTAATGCATTTAATACATTTTCTTTCTTCATTTATCTCACTATTACTCTCTCACATTTGCCTATTTTATAGGGAAAATCACTAACAGGTCCCACAGAAGGTAATTTATTACTCTGAGGTCCCACGAAATGTCAAAATCACTGACAGGTCCCAAGGGACCTCAGAGTAATATTTTCATTTTGTAAAATGACATTACTGCTCCTCATATTTCAGATTCACATTTGCTCTGTCATTACGATTTACAACCTCAGCAGCGACTATTAACAACCTAATGAGAGAGCGTTAACAACCCTAGCAGTATCCGTTAACAACTTACTTTATAGAATTGTATAACCTCTACATAAGAGTAAATTATAACCAAATAATATAATACAACAACTTTAACACTAAAATGGGAAGCTTTTTGATATCATTAAGAATTTTAACTAGATCTAATAGGATTATAGTAATATTTTAATGCGAAGATCCATTTACAACCTCAACAGTGACTATTAACAACCGAATGAGAAGGCATTAACAACTTAAGCAGTATCAGTTAACAACTTACTTTATAGAATATATAAACTTCGCATAAGAGTAAATTATAACCAAATAGTATAATACAACAACTTTAATACTAAAATGGGAAGCTTTTTGATATCATTAAGAATTTTAACTAAACCCAATAGGATTATAGCAACATTTTAATACGAAGATCCATTTACAACCTCAATGGTGAGTATTAATAACCCAAAGAGAGCTGTTGACAATCTAGGTAGTATCTATTAACAGTTGACTTTATAGGATAATATAACCTCTAACAACTATATAAGATTAACTTTAAGACTATTTAGTTATAGTTTAGTTAGTTATAGTTAGAAGTTATATTATCCGATAAAATTAGTTGTTAACAGACACTGCTAAGGTTGTTAACAATTCTCCTTAGGTTATTAATACTTACTGTTGAGGTTGTAAATGAATTTTCGCATTAAAATGTTGCTATAATCCTATTGGGTTTGGTTAAAATTCTTAATGATATCAAAAAGCTTCCCATTTTAATGTTAAAGTTGTTGTATTATACTATTTGGTTATAATTTACTCTTACGCGAAGGTTATATAATTGTATAAAGTAAGTTGTTAACGGATACTGCTTAGGTTGTTAATGCCTTCTCATTCGGTTGTTAATAGTCGCTATTGAGGTTGTAAATGGATCTTCGCATTAAAATATTACTATAATCCTATTGGATTTAGTTAAAATTCTTAATGATATCAAAAAGCTTCCCATTTTAGTGTTAAAGTTGTTGTATTATACTATTTGGTTATAATTTACTCTTATACAGAGGTTATATAATTCTATAAAGTAAGTTGTTAACGGCTACTGCTTAGGTTGTTAATGCCCACTCATTCAGTTGTTAATACTTGCTGTTGAGATTGTAAATGGATATTCGCATTAAAATATTACTATAATCCTATTGGATCTAGTTAAAATTCTTAATGATATCAAAAAGCTTCCCATTTTAGTGTTAAAGTTGTTGTATTATAGTATTTGGTTATAATTTACTCTTATGTAGAGGTTATATAATTCTATAAAGTAAGTTGTTAACGGATACTGCTAGGGTTGTTAACGCCCTCTCATTAGGTTGTTAATAGTCACTGCTGAGGTTGTAAATCGTAATGACAGAGCAAATGTGAATCTGGAATATGAGGGGCAGTAATGTCATTTTACAAAACGAAAATATTACTCTGAGGTCCCTTGGGACCTGTCAGTGATTTTGACATTTCGTGGGACCTCAGAGTAATAAATTGCCTTTTGTGGGACCTGTTAGTGATTTTCCCTATTTTATATATAAGGGCATATTTAGAAAAAAAATTGTATTTATTACATATTAATTGTTTTTAACTGATTTTAACTATTTTTTTAAATTATGTAATTTAGTTAAAAGGACCTAGGATGGAGGGAGTATATTTCTGGATGAATGATGCATTTTAGTTTTCTTCTTCTTTTTTTGCAAAATTTTTCTTCTTCGATTATTGAAATATTTGCGATCTTATCTTTTCATAACATTTATTATTAAATATGATTATCTTAAGTGTTATTTCCTGAGATGTTATGTACTCCCTCCCCATATATAAATTTTAGTTTTGAAGAGGAGTCTGATCCGATTTATAAGCTCCATCTTGAGTTTTGTCTGAACAT